ACAGATGAACTTTGCCAACTTTGAACACTCGTTCATCAACGAATGTCAATATTATCCGACCTAAACCGACAAGACAACGAGCTCGCGGGACAATAGTTAGGGCGTTAGACTCTGATCAAAAGGTCGCGAGTTCGAGCCTCGAGTGGTGCACCACTTGGGGCTGGGTATGACTGGCTGACGGCTAATAAGCCAGAACTGGCCATTCCAGTCTGCCTTGTCTTTGCCGGCAATAATGTCTAAATATCAAGTCTCTTCTACTGCACCTAACCTTCAGCAGCCAAACATGACTGCACCCACCAACAACACAGACGCTGAACGTCTCATCAAAATGCACTATGTGGGTAACTTGATCGTCACCGAAAAAGACGAACAGTCGTACGCAAGGAAGGGGAGGAAGGTAGTGAGACCTACCGCTTTTCCTTCTCCAGTTCACCAACTCGCGAACGCAGTCGCTCGTTTTCTTTGTGGCAACTGTGGATGCGCATCTCGAGGGTCTGAAGATACTCCTGGCGACGGGCACGACTGGCCTTGGCGGAAATTTTATTTCGGATTTTTCGACGAACGGCTCGAATAACGCGTTCATCACTGCGTGACAGTGGAAACATTGTCGGCACCTTGTGACCCATACGCGATAGCAATCGTCTTTCCTCAGCTGATAGCACGAGTCGCTGGCCCTTTGTGAAAAGAGAACAGGGAACGATAAAGAATAAAACCTGGTAGGTAGTGGCCCTAAAGTGAATAGTCAGTGCCGCTTGGAAGCAAAACAGAGAAATTGGAAGCTTTACTGTCTACTGGAAAGTCTCGAGAAATAATTTATTATGAACCCGCATGAAGATCACAATATGATCTTGAACTACCGAAGGAGAACGGAAAGTTAGCCCGATAAGGCTTGCTCCAAAAACGACTTTAAGCTCATTTATACATAGCTAACGGAATCAAAAAACATCATTTTCGTGTGTCAACATGTACTTACCGATCAGAGTCAAAAGCCTAAATCAGTGAGCCGCGAGCTCGCTGTGGCACTCTGTGGAGGCCCAAGGCAGAGCGGGACAGATGAGTTACGTTAGCAGTCAGGTGAGCGTTCATCAACGAGAGCACACATATGTCAGAGATAAAACTAA